GGAAGGAAGGAAGGAAGGAAGGAAGGAAGGAAGGAAGGAAGGAAGGAAGGAAGGAAAGAAGAAAGGAAGAAAACCCTGCTATACACCTGCCGCCTCCACTGTGAGGACCACTGACCAGCAGCACCCACAGCCCGTGGGAACTCATCAGATATATAAAGCCTCAGCCACACCGCAGACTTGCTGAATCTGACCTGTAGTTTACCAAGGCTCCAGGGAATCCTTCCTCCATGCCTGCAAGCAACCTTGTAAGGTGAGAGCCGCTTCACAGAGGATAAACAGAATCCAAGGCAGTGAGTCCAAGGTCACATGATTGGTAGGTCGGACAGCCAGGATGAGTGTGACCTGGGCTCCAACTCCACAAAAACTTCTCAAAGCACAATGGACCATCGTCCCTAGGGACGCCTAAGTACGGGGGTCTTCAGACCAGCTGAGCATATCCCATTCCCAGTGTCAACGTCCCCCCAAATTAAACCTTGTAAAGACCAGCATGATTGATGAGGAAATACAAACAGTGAACAAACACGTAGGGAAATGTTCGCTCTACCTAGTAATCAGACATGCAAATGAGAGCAACATTTAGGAACCATTCTCTACCTATATAATTAGCAAGACTGAAAAAAAAAGCATGTAAAAACTGTTCTGAACAAGGCGCATGCATATACAACCCGCGACAGCATAGATTTATATAACCCTTTGGGAAAGTGATCTGGCAACATCCATCAAGAGCCATGAATATATTGTGCCCGCTGACCTGGGAATTCACCCGAAGGAAATAATTCAACGGGACAGCGGGATGGGGAGCTGAATGTAAGAAGATGCTCACTGCAACACTGGCTGTGAACATGGGGAAATCCTAATATTCTGCAGGAAGGGAAGGAAGAGCTGGGGAAAACGGGCATCTATCAGTTCCTGCTCTGAGGCAGCCATCTGAAATGAAAATTAAGAGGTCCGAGCAGTAACACACAGAAATGTGAGTAAAAGAAAGAATGGGGGTGCGGCTGGAGCTTAGCGGCAGTGAGTGCACTTGCCTCCCATGTGGGGGGCTGTAGGTTCAATCCTCAGGACATCCTGCCCCCGTACACACAACACCCCCAACCCATCCACAGAATTAACACTGCCCAGCTTGATAGTGCGTGCCTGTTATCCCAGCATGCAGAAAGCAGAGGTGGGCAGACCCCTGTGATTTTGAGGCCAGTTCAGTCTACATAGTGGGTTCCAGGCCAGTTGGGGCTATACAGTGAGGCAGGCCTTGTTTCAAAATCAATACATAAGTAGAAAGGAGATAAAAAGCTGCTGTGTGAGCTGGGGTGATGATGCTGTGGAAATATTGTCTGCACAGGAGGACAGGGCGGAGCTGAAGGCAGAGGAAGACAGTATCAGAGTCGAGAACACAGACGGACAAATGCCTTCTCCTGCTACCCTTGCAGTTATAAGCCTCAGAGCAGCTCCAAGGACTCTCGGACAGAGACGCTACGTCCGAAGGTGCCACAGACACAGCCCTATCCCTTATTCCTAAGTAGAGGGTCACATTCCAGATTGCCAAAAGTATGGGGAGTTGGCCCACTAGGGACCAGGAGGCTATGAGAGGCCCCTTCTGACTCACCATGAAGCCTGGGGCACAAGTGCAGCCCCCAGTGATGCTGTGGCAGTCAGCGCCATTCTGGCAGGTGCAGGGTAGCTGGCAACCGTTGCCATAGTAGCCGGCAGGGCAGGACTCATTGCAGAAGTGGCCTGACCAGCCAGGTTGGCAGGTACAAGCTCCAGTGACTGGATGACAGCTGAACAGAGGAAAGAAGGGGTAAGAGGTCATCGCGTTCAGGGTTGTGTGCATTCAGCCAACTGTGGCCCCTCCTCTGCCCTCCCCAAGGCTAGCCTTCCCATGGTAGTAAGAGCAATGGACCCCTGTGGTTAAGATAGTCATGTCTTGCTGTTTATGAGAAGAAGCCATAGCCATACACGGCCTTGTTAGTTCCCAGAAATGCCTAAGTCATTCAGCAAGGAGGTACAAGACCAGAATTAGAACCCAATCCTTCTGGTTCTCAAAGATGCACTTTTTTTTCTTTTTTCTTTTGAGACAGGGACTTATGAAGCCCAGGCTACCTTTGAACTATGTAACCAAGGGTGACACTGAATATCTGGTACCCCTGCCTCCACCTCCCAAGGGCTAAGAAGACAAGTATAGATCACCAGGCTGTTTATGCAATGCTGGGATCAAAACCAGGCCTCCTGCACACTAGGCAAGGACTCTACCAACTGAACTACCCACTCCCAATGTATATTCTTTATAAAACTACCCAGCCCAAAGCATAGGGCAGTGTCTTACTCCCTTGACTTAGAGAGTCTGAAGTTCAGAGTTCCCATCACTCACCTCTCACCCACAGCAGATACCTAAGGTAGGATCTCATCAGAGGGCACCCATGACACCAGAAGCTCTCCATAGCATGGGCATCGATAGAATTAAAACAAGCCCTCTGGGTAGGGTGACTCCTCCCTGACAATGTCTGTCCCTGAGGGAACCGTACTTGGGCCTCCTAAGGTTCTGGAACAGAGCAAGTCTTCTCCCTCTTTTATCTGTCAAGGCTACAAAAAGAACCATGGGCTGGCGGCAGGAGCATGACCCTGGAGCGGGGTAACTTTGACTGACAGAGGTCTGGTCGGCAGTCAATATCCATTCCTGATCAGGAGCCCCAGATGTAGTAATGGCGTGCCCTGCTAGGTACTGACACATAACGCCATCTGCTGAGTCCACATGGGCCCTTTCCCTGGGACGATCTCAGCAGACACTAAGGTGGGCCACTCCTGGGAGGCCTGGGCTCTCTTATGGTGGGTTCCTGTGACCTCATGACTCCTTTGCTCCCACACTTTCTCAGAATCCTGCTATGAGCTGATTCTCTCAGCTTCCTCTGTGCTCTCACGGCCTAGCAGCCCCTCCCAGCGCTCCAGCTCACATCGACCTCCCTACTCCCCAACCCCAACTTTGACGTTTCTCTCTTGCACGGTTCTAGGAACCAGCCTAGAGCTTGCTCTCCGCAGTCTAGGCAAGCATCTCCTTCACCACATGCACACCCGGATCTCTCACACTTGGCATTTGCTTCTGGGCCAGCCCGGACTAGCACACCAGAGGTAGTGGAAAACAAGCGACTCTGATCCTGGAATCCAGCTCAGGTCTGATCTGCGAAGCCTGCAGTGGCTGCCCAGTGCTCGGCTTTGTTCCTTTAAGTTCCACAAGGACAGGGGCTGGGAGTCCCCAGGCTGGTGTTGGCTCCCAGATTCCAGGCCCTATTCATGGTCCAGTTTACACACCTAGGATTGCACACTGCTTTTCCCATATTTAGTTATTTTTTTAAGCCCAGGTCCTCATATAGCCTTACACTTGCTCTATAGCTGAGGATGATCCTGAGGTTTAGTTTTTGCCTTATTTATTTATTTTGTAAGTGTATGGGCACACAGATGCCACGGCACGTGTGTAAAAGTCGGGGAACAACCTGTGGGAGTCAGCTCTGTCCTTCTACCACGTAGGTCTCAGGCGTAACACTCAGGCCACCAAGCTTGATGGCAAAGCAACTTTCCTGGTTAACCTCGCTCACCAGCTCCCCACCCTGAACTTCTCCCTCTCCAGTGCTAGGGGAACAGCTGGGTACCATTTCCACACCTGGTTTTATGCAGTGCTGGAATTCGAACCCAAGGCTTCATGTCTGCTAGGAAAGCACTCTGTCAGCTGAGCTACAGCCCTAGCCCTGTGTTGAATTATTTTCTGCGTCTACTGACTTGTTTGTTTTCTGTCTATCCATTAGGTTTCGACTCCCTGGGGAAGAGTCCTTGTCAGTCTTGTCACCTCGCAGGCACAGTGGGGTTCCTGGCCCAGGGGAAGTGCTGACCTCATGACATGCTTAAATGAATGAATTAATGAAGAGACAAACTGTGAGCAGCCAGCCGGCCTCTCTTCTAGGGGGCCCTGGTGTTCTTGTAGAAAACGAGGGGGTGGACCAGAGCAGACGGTTCTGGCATAATAAGTACCAGCAGCTAATAATCACTTCAGAAAATGTTTAGTCTCATTAATCATCCAGTCAAAACAACAATTGGATATTACCTTCCCTCTATCAAAACACGGACGAGCGTTTCAAATGCTGGCAAAGGTCTCCAAACAATCTGAGGTTACGTATCAGGAGACCTAAATATATGCAGAAGCCTCGGCCTTGTAATTCCATTTCTAAGAATCTATCCTAAGGAAACAATCGTGGTTGCGGAGGAAGATTTATGCACAGAGATGTTCCCTGAAGCATTATTTATAACAGCAGAAAATGGAAGCAATCTGAATAATAATAAATAATATGTGACCAGGCTATGGAAGCACCAGGCACCTCACACACATACTTCTTATCTTCCACAAACCTGTGAGGTAGGAATGGGAGCCTCCATTTTGCAGGTGGTGCCCAGAGGTTCGGGACCTGCCCAAGGTCACGCAGACAAGTGGGTAAATGATGGAGCTGGGATTTGAACCAAGGTCTGGCCAAATTTATCCCGTGCTTCATGTCTCCTCTGACAAGAAGGTGCTAGTTAAATGTGTTAGGAGTGTCCGTAAGAAGGAATGTTAGATGCCAGGGGTGGTGGCATACACCTTTAATCCCAGCACTTGGGAGGCAAAGACAGGCAATCTCTGTGGGTTCAAGCCCAGTCCGGTCTACATAGTGAGTTTCAGGTCAACCAGGGCTACACACACACACACACACACACACACACATGAAAAAAAAGAAAAACCCTCTCCAAAAAACACACAAACAAACAAAACAAAGGAGGAAGAGTCATTGGAGTGTTGTTAAGGTTCTCATTGTTTCTACAAATAGCTAATGACTTAAGATTAAAAAAACATGTAAATTATATACAAAGTCATAACTTTAGGCCTAAGGATATAACTCAGTGTCTGCCAAGCATGTCTGAGGCTTTAGGTTCAATTCAACCCCCCCCCAAAACAAAGCAAGCAACCCCAAAACAAAACCCCACAACAGGGGCTCGAAAGATGACTCAGTGATTAAGAGAACTGGCTTCACTTCCAGAGGACCCGGGTTCAAGTCCCAGCACCCACATGGCAGCTCACACTTTCTGTAATTCCAGTTCCAGGGAATCTGACACCTTCACACAGACACATACATGCAGGCAAAACACCAGTGCACATAAAGCAAATAAATAAATAAACAGATGTTAAAATGAAGCCTATAACAAACAAAATATGAGCCACACAAACAAATCCTCAAACTAAAATGAAACAAGAAAGTCCCCCCCATACTAAAGTCATGATCTGAAATATGAAAAACATACAGGTACTGGGATCTGAACTCAGATCCTCTACAAGGACAGTATTTGCTTTAATTGCTGAGCTGTCTCTCCAACCTCATTTCTTTCCTCCTCACACCCCCACACTCTCGATTCTTTTTCTCTTCTTCTTTTTTTTTTTAACTTGGACACAGGTTTCATGTAGCCCAGGCTAGCCTTTAACTTGCCATGAAGCTGAAATTGGTCTTTTATTCCTCCTGCCTCCACCTTTGAAGGACCGAGATTCCAGGTGGTATACCTAGTTTATTGGGTGCTAGGGATGGAGTCCAGGGCTTGGTGCGCACTAGGTGTGGTGGCTTGAATGAGAATAGTCCCCATAGGCTCATACACCTGAAGGCGTGATCCCCAGTTGTGGAATTGTTCTGAAAGGATTGGGAGGTGTGGTTTTGTTGGAGAAGGTGTGTCACTGAGAGTGGGCTGTGAGCTTTCAAAAGCTCATGCCAGGCCCACACTTGCTCCCTCTCTACCTGCTGCCTGTGAGTCAGGATGTAAGCTCTCAGTCACTGTTCCAGCACCATGCCTGCCTGCCTGCTGCCATGCTTCCCGCCATGATGATCATGAACTGACCCTCTGAAACTGTAAGCAAACTCCAATTAAATGCTTTCTGTCATAGTTGCCTTGGTCCTGGAGTCTCTTTACAGCAAAGAACAGTAACGAAGACTCTAGGCAAACATTCCACCAGTTCCACTACATCCCCAGCCCTACAATTCTATTTCTAGAAACAGGACATTTGCTTAATTGGATGATCTGTTGTCATTCTCTAAAAGTCCCTCTGAGAAGATGCTGGGGAGTGACAGCGGACGAGTTGGCTTTTTATTTTTGTTTATTTTTTTGAGACTCTGAAGCCCAGACTGGCTTTGGACTCATGGCAATCTTCTGCCTGCATGTGCCCCTGCCAAAGCCTCCCTGCCCCTGGGTCACCTGGCTGTTCAGGCAGTGCTAGGGGAGGCTTGGACCAAAGTCCACATCACTGATGCTCAGGCTGCCTCCTCTGTCAGGTTTCCCTGATTTTCTTTCTTTTCCCCAGACACAGATTAATCACCAGCTAACAGAAGCCGAAAGCCACACAATGTGTGCAGCAGCTTCACAGAGTGGGTTTTTCTGCCTTTCTTTCGCTCTGATGAGATTTCTATCTCTGCGGCATCTGCTGGCTAAATCAAATCTTTCAAAGGTAATCCGCCATCATGGCTACTGGAATTCATCTATGACAATCCAATTTCAGAGGGAACATTTAAGAGGCCTGACACCCAGACACTGTCCTCAAGGTGAATGCTCTATGGAGCAAGGTGGTCTCTTTGGTGTTTTCACAGAGCCCATAGAGGAAACAAAGCTTCCCAGCCCTGCTCCTTCCCAGGGCAACCCAAAAGCTCTCTATGAAAGCTAGCCAGAGGGAAGGGGCAGGGAGAGGCTGTATATGGCTGGGGTTAGAGTCCTGTGTCTTCTCAAAAGAATTCTGGAGACTGGAAGCCACCATTTATTCCCAGTTCTGCACAAGTTCAGGAACAAATGGGGCTTTTGGTGACTTCAGCTCCGTTCCACTTCTAAAGACCTCAAGAGAAGTTATCCCTGTGCTGACCCAAAGTGATAGACTGGGAGATGGACACAGAGAGGAGAGGGGTGTATATCAGGGTTATTTTCTTAGGCAGGTAGTAAAGAGCCAGCCTGCCTCCATCTTAGACTTAAAAGGCCATCTTATAGTAAAGACGAACTAGGTTCACTCCTGTTATGATTAAACCTGTTTCTCAAGGACTGGGCTATGCGCCACCTGTCACCTGAACTTCAAGTGGTTCTGCACTGCACATTCTGGGAATGGCAAGCATGGCTTTGTCTCAAAAGGCGGTTTATAACCATCTTGCAACCCTACCTTTGTTTTTAAAGTTTATATGACCACCTATGGCAACCTTGTTCTGCCCACCCTGCAACCATGCCAGGAGGTCATTAGGAATAATTGCTATGCTTATATTCTGCTCCTATAACTCTGTCTATTTTGCTTGAGAAATCCTTCATTTGGAAACTCCCTACCCCTGAGCTATAAAAGCCTTGTCTTCCTCACAGCCAATACTGACCTCTTGAACCCTGTCTTAGGGGGAGGCAGCCCATACACGCAAATAAAAAAAGCTTATTAATTTCCCCGTGATGATTTGGGTTGGTGGTCTTTCTCCTCTCATCTTTGGGATTAACAGTAGATCTAAAGCTAGGACGAGGGGACCAACCCCCTCCCAGTACCTGCAACCTAACTGCCTTAAAATGGGAAATGTAGGTCCATCTGTTCCTCCCTCCCTTTCTCTTTTGCTTTCTCACTTTCTCCCCTTCTCTCTCTCTCCCTTCCTTCCTTCTTTCCACTCTTCCTATTTTTTTTTAAAAATAAGATCTCATGGGGCCCATTCTGGCCTCTAAGTTGCCAAGGATGACCTTGAACTTTTAATCCTCTTGCCTTTGTCTCTTACATGCTGGAATACTGGTGTGTGCCACCATGCCCAGTTTATATTGTACTGGAGATGGATGCATGCCAGGCAAATTCTCTAACAACTGAGACACCCACCTAGCTGCAGGTCTTTGCTTTGTTTATATCCCAAGGCTCTATCTATAGTGAACCAAAGCTTCATGGGAAGAGAAAGGCTGAGCTGTGTCCACACAAAGGGAGAGACTTGTCCTCTGTGTGCATAAGGACAAAACCAGGAGCAGCAAGGATTCATTCAAACCAGAGGTTCTCATCTCAAACGTCTTGCTTCCTCTATCCTACCTGGACATTTGGCACTGACTGGAAGCATCTTTCGGTGTCAGAACTTGGGAAAGGTTCTGGAATATTTAAGAAGCAAGTAGGTGGAGCTACCTAGAAGGATGCACGTATAAAATGAATTCAGTGATTCCTGTCACTGAAGACTGAGGCAGTGGTGATAGAAATGGACAAGGCAGGGTGCTGGTACCCTTGGGGGGTGGGGTCCAGGCTCTCCCCAGAGAGGAAGTGCTTTGAAGTCGAAGCAGCCTGCCTGGAGCTGAGCCGGTAGGCATCTCCCAAGGACCCGTGCCTAAGGAGGGCTCTTGCCTCCCAGTTCCTTGAGACACGACACACGTTAAAGACAGTAAAGCAAATAATCATTAATATTGGATGGGCTGAGATTAGCGACAGAGAAGAGGGAGTCCTTCCAGATTAATAATGCATGGAGGACTCCTTCAGAAGAAAGATAAATTATGCAGGGCACGGTTGCCCAGGCATGGGAGGAAAACAATAGCTTTTTAATTGGGGGCTTGAGTGGATCTCTGTGGTGGGGACTCTTCCTGAATGGAAACCTCATCAGCCTTCTTGGTTTCCCAGCAGGGATCGGGTGTCCCCATGCTGTCTTCCACCTATGAGCTGTGTTCTCATCTCCATACTTGGGACTCTTAGACTTCTCACCCTGTCCTTCAGTCTGGGTCAAAGGCCACCTCTTCCAAGACGCCTTTTCTGACCAGCATGGTGGCTTCTTGTGATCTTTTATGCACATATCCAAGGTCACAGTGACTTGGATACCTATTGGGATCCAGCAGAGTCAGAGGCATGCATTTCTACCTAATATTTCTCAACCTCTGATGTTAGGTGTGATATACACTTAATGGTATGCCATGGTTTGGCTGAATGAATTAGGTCCATTAGGACACAAAAACAGGGCACTCCTGGATGTGCCTTGTATTGGAAGAATATTCTAAAAAGTGTCTGGTATCAGTGAAAACTCAGAATCTAAGGTCCTAGGAACACCCAGGCTTTCCTTTTATAGCCTAGCCCTGCCCAGTGGGGGCACTCCATGTTTGTTGAATGAATATCAAGGCACAGAAATGTTCAAGTCATGTACAGACCTGCTGGGTTGGCTCTAGATCCTCTCAGTATAGTTCTCCTCTGAGAGGCCACCAAAGGAACCACATTCATCTAAACTGATAAGTGCCGAGATGCCCTGCTTGCTGTGACGGGAGGTTCCAGGGTGATGTGTGAGAAACCAGACACTGGAGGTGAAGAGGGGGCCTCAGAGCAGAGGCCTTCTCTGCCTGACCATCTGCACAGCACCCACTGTTTGGCAAGCCTGTCTGCCCCTTACTGTCCTGATAGCAGGCAGTCGGACAGAGGGCAGTGAGGCATCCCAGGGGCTGACAGCCCCACTTACTACCAGGAGGAGCAGCGAGCAGGAAGGGGTGGACCAGGAGGCTGGGACCATTTGCTCTTCTGCTTCATAGGCTCAGTCCTCTCAGGAAGTAGGAGAGACTAGCTACTGTCCGCAGATTTCCAAGCCATTCTGGGCACAGAGACCAATCTCTGTCCTTCCTGCTCTCCCTCCTGGCTGGGCCTCTCTGGGTCCCGGGCTTTCTATGGTTAGAGGCTCAGGGTGAAGAAGAGGACTCTCCAAGATAGCTCACCAGACACCGTGCCCTGAGCCTTATCACCCCAACCCACTCTGGTGCCCAGAAGCATCCAATTCCAACCCCCCGTTTCTGTGAGTTATTCCTGTGTGAGGCTTGAGACTGACTCTTTGTAAAGCTGAGGCAGCTGACCATGGAGAACAGGTGGCAGATGACCTAAGGTCTGTCCTGATTCCAGCTGGCTGACTGGCCACTCTGGAGGTGGGGCCACAGCCCAGGAAGCCTTTCTCCATCTTGGGGCCCATCCAACCCCTGACCCAGGCTTACCTGTCCACAGATCATACCTGATAGTGTTCTCAGTGTCACAGGGACAGGGCAAGGTGCAGCCTGGACCATGCAAGCCCTCGGGGCATAGCCGCTCCTGGCAGCTAGGGCCCTTGTAGCCAGGCTCACACTCACAGGCACCTGTGGTCGGCGAACACTGACCTCCGTTGTGGCAGTCACAGCGCTGAGAGCACCGGAAACCAAAAGTTCCAAAGGGACATTCCTCTTGGCACCTGTGGGAGAGCAGAGAAGGATAGAGCTGTGGATCAAAGCCCTCGCTGGCCTTCTCGATGCATTTGCACAGACCCCTCCTCACTTGGAATGCCTGGTGTGTTCCTTCCCTTCCAGTCCCCCCCCCCATCTGTTTCCAAGGAAACTTCACCCCAGTCTCCTTAGCAGCCAGGATGAGCGCATTATCAGTGTCATGATGCAAAACTTTGTTTCTTTGTCATTGTAAACACTGTGATGAGGCTGGGTGTGGCGGTGCCTGCCTTGTTGAAAAGTTTCTGCACCCCGATAAGCCTCTCTGCAGACGCAATAATCCAAATCAGACCAGATCAAACCGAATTAGAAAAAACCCAGGTTTAATAGATACAACACTCCCGGATGGCTTTCCAGCCCCCCAGAGAGGAGACAGGAAAGGAAAACCACGTGTCTGTTTTCTGAGGAGCAGCTTAAATTCCTGGTGGGAGTGGTCTTGAGCATCTCTGGGAGAGGGGTCATCATTTGATGGGCTTTCTGAGAGGCAGCAGGGTTTGGAGAGAGAGGGGGCGGGGGAGGCGGCTTGGGACGGAGCTTCTACCTGAACATTCCAGATTCTTTGGATACATGGATGCCAGGGGTTGGAGTGAAGCTTCCACCCGAACACTTGGGAGGTTGAAGGCTGGCTTTGAATTCACAGCAATCCTCCTGTCCCAAACTTCGGTGTGCTGGGATTACTAGTATGTGCTCTCCCGATTCTCAAGCAGAAGCCTCTCTCCCCATCCTGTGTGGTTCCTCCAGCCAGTGTGGAATTTCCCTTAGGTACAAGTGTCTTCCTCCTTCACCAAATTGCATACTCCCAAAGACTAGCTATTTGCTCTTCCTGGGACGCAAGGCAGGGACTAGCCCTCTCTCTTATCAGCCAGTGATCCCCCAAGGTAGAGGAGAGGTGCCTTTGGTACTATTTGAGCTCATACAGGTAGGTGCTTGGAAGTCCCTGCATCTGGGACTGCTCCAGCCTTCAGGCCAGGAGATGCAGGTCTCTCGTGTGGCCCTGCTGGCTTCCTGAATGTGCTTTAACAATCCTTGCTATCCTTGCTGCAGTCCAGGGTTAATTTCCCAGAGGCCACAAGCTGATGGTCACAGCAACCGTGGAAATAAGGGGTTATCCTTGATGCAGCCTGTGCCCGAGAGGGAAATGGCCTCTGGGTTTGGGGATTATCTATTTCTTAACTCTGCTTCGATGATACAGGTAATGAAGAACTGGCCTAAACTTCAGACAGAACACTTTCTTATCATAAAATGAATTGGTAAGCCTCATCAGGTTGATTGAAGATGAAGTAAGATAATACTAGGGTCTAGAGAGATGGCTTAGCAGTCAAGAACTCCAATTTGACTTGCAGGACTTGAGTTCTGTTCCCAGCACCTGCATTGGGCAGCTCACAACCACCTGTAACTCCAGGTCCAGGGGATCTGACACCCTGCTTTAGTCTCCTCTAGCACTGAATTCACACAACCCACTCCCATACACACAATTAATTTTTTAAAGTGTGAATAACTAGGCCGAGTGGTGGTGGTGCACACCTTTAATCTCAGCACTTGGGAGGCAGAGGCAGGTGGATCTCTATGAGTTCGGGGCCAACCTGGTCTACAAGAGCTAGTTCTAGGACAGGCACCAAAGCTATACAGAGAAATCATGTCTCAAAAAAAAAACAACGAACAAACAAACAAAAATGCGTATAACTGCCAGGTGGCGGTGGCACATGCCTGCAATCACAACACTCAGGAGGCAGAAGCAGGAGAATCTCTGTAAATTTGAGGCCAGCCTGGTATACAGAGCAAGTTCTAGGACAGACTCCAAAGCTACACAGAGAAACCCTGTCACAACAACAGCAACAACAACAACAACAACAACGACAACAACAACAACATGTGTAATTATCCAGAAAGGCAGCCAGGAGGCCATTATCTGCTGTTACTTTTAAAAAAAATTTCTTAACTTCTGATCCATCTCTCCAGTTCTTATTAAAAGTTTGTTACAACCCTTAAAACACAACAGCTCTTTAACCAGGCAGTGGTGGCACATGCCTTTAATCCCAGCACTCGGGAGGCAGAGATAGACAGATCTCTGTGAGTTCGAGGCCAGCCTGGAGTTCCAGGACAGGCACTACACAGAGAAACAAACCCTGACTCAAAAAACCAAAACCAAACCAAAACAACAACAACATCAAAAAAACAAAACCCAAAACCAAAAAGCCCAAAAACAAACCGAAACAAAAAACCACAACAGATTTAACCTTCTTCCCTTAGATTCAGGCATCAAAAGGCTCAAATAAAAGAATTCTAAAATATAAGGGAAGCATGGACTTGAGAAACTAGAAGTAGTTTAATTATGACTTGTGTGGAGGTCAGAGGACAGACTGTAGAGTTCATGTAAGGCAAATGATCTGAACTTACTTCCAGGTTTTGAAAATCTACCAGTTCCTGAGCTAGAAAACCCACCAATCCCTGAGTTTAAAGTCCTATCAATCCCCAGGCTCACCCCAAGCTCAGGACTTGAAATTCCACCAATCCCCACTCTGGAAATCTCCACCCTGGAAAGCTCTGCCCCCAAGAAACCCTATATAAGCCTGTCTCCCACTCAGTTCCCTGATGCTTCTCACCAGAGCAGAGGCAGCCACCACCCACTTTTCCAATAGATCTCTTGTGTGAGGTTTGGTTTGTTGTATGGCGTGACTTTGTGGTACTCCTCGGCTCCAGTCTGCCAGGATACCTTTCCCCTCAGAGTTGCAACAGTTACAGTTCTCTCCTTCCATTCTGCATGTCTTCCAGGGATGGAGCTCAGGCTGTCAGGCTTTGAGTAGCAGGCACCTTTATGTGCTGAGTCATCTTACCAGCCCTGTCACCCTAAGATTTATCCTTTGCATTCAAGTGTGACCTTGAACTCCTGATTCTCTTACCTCTACCTCCTGAGTGCTGGGATTACAGGCACGACCCATCAAAGCCTATTTACTCAGTACTGGGGATGGAACACAGGTCTTTATGCATGCTAGGCAATCATTTTACTGATATTGTTTATTGTCTAAATGTACCTTGTGCTAGCTAGTTATATGTCAGCTTGACATAAGCTCAATTGAGAAAATTTCCCCATAAGATGGAACTGTAGAGCATTTTCTTCATTAGGGGTTGATGTGGGAGGACCTAGTTCATTATGGATAGGACCAGCCCTGGGCTGGTGGTCCTGGGTTCTATAAGACAGCAGGCTGAGCAAGCCATGATCAACAAATCAGCGAGCCATACTCCTCCATGGCCTCTGCATCAGCTCCTGCCTCCAGGTTCCTGCCCTGCTTGAGTTCCTGCCCTCACTGCTTTTGATGGTGAACTGTTATATGGAACTTGTGAGCCGAATAAACCCTTTCCTTCCCAAGTTGCTTTTGGTTATGGTGTTTCATCACAGCACTATAACCCTAACTAAGAGAGACCCATAGTTCTTCTTCATAGACATTCTTCCTCATAGACGGTGCAGGGAGAGTGGTCCTGCTGAGAGGCTGGTGGCGTAAAATGAGGACAAATGGCCACACCCTAGTAGACTTGGGCAGACAGCATAGTATAGGAGGGATTGAGAGCAGCCAGAATATTGGGGGCTAGCCTTGGCAACTAGAGACCAGGTGCTGTTTTTTTCTATCTTTGCTGTTCTGTGCCCAGAAAAAGGAGCAGGAGAGTGACTGGGCAAGAGCTTAGGGCTTCCCTCAAGGGAGAGGCTACTGCTGGCCCCTTTCAGAGCCACGGTGCGAGGGGAGGAGCCTGGCTGAAGGGAGGCAGCGAGAAAGAGGCAGGCTGCCCTGGGCTGCCCTAACCTGCTGGGGCAGGAACAAAGGGAGAGGGTGCCTGAGGGAGGAGGGGAAGGGGGCAGGCAGGAGAAAGAAAGGAGGAACTGAGAAGGAAGGGGAGGGCAAGGAGCAAGAACAGCTAAAGACCCACCATCGAAACTGCCAATCTCCACTCAGCCTCCAGATTTCTCCACACAGACCCCTGAGCTCTGCAGGCCTCAGAAATCTCTGAGGTCGGGAGAGAAGCTCACACCAGGAGACACCTGCTCCCTTGCATTGGAATATTCCTGTCCTCCTGTCTGAAGAGAGTGTCCTACCTGGCTGTATTCCAGGGGGAGAGGGCACTACATCCACATGCCCAGAACAAAAGCTCTAGGAATGAAATATTGACAAGCTAATCTATTTCCATCATCCGCCTCTTTTTACTTTTCTTCCCATCCACAATTTAAACAACTTATTTATTTAGAGATCAAGCAAAGACTGCTAATGAATTTTACACAAAGCACACCAATAAGCGGCCCGTGGAACAGGAGGGTAATCACAGCAGGGATTAGCTCTCTACTTAAACACCCTTCCTTCCCAGTGTATCAATCTAATGTGTCCGATATTGCCATTAACAACCAGATACATTGCTCAATTAAATTACAAGTTACGTTTCGTGTTTAATTTGAGCTGGATCCTGCCTATCTGGGGAGACCCGCATTATTATACCCGCTTGGTTTTAATATGCTCATGATAATTTGGGGTGGGCTAATGCAGCTGTCACCTACAAAATTAATGGAGGCAATTTTACAAAATATTAAACACCAGGCAGCCTGTTGAGGCGGGAAAGCCAAATGCTCATGGTGTTCTGCATGAACTCTCCTGAGGCGGGTTAGGAAGCAAGCTGGAAGGCCCGTGGTTTGGAAATTTTTTCTCTGCTCTGGGATCAGGGGTGAGACTTCAAGAAGCGACACTTGGGATTGTTTCTGCCCTTGGTGAACTCTGAGGGCAAATGAGGTGGTTCTACTGGTGCCCGGTAGCTTGCTAGAACCCTGACACCAGTTTCCAGTGCATGAATGAGGCTGGAATGAAGGGTCCTTTCCGGTTCCCAGCATTTCCTTACTTTGGGGCTGAAGATGTGACGGAAAGGTAGGCCTAGCCCTTTGATCCCCAGAGCCTACAACCTGTGCTCTGTGGAGACAAAGGCTGGCACAAGGCTTAAGGATTTTAGGGTGTAAGAAAATAAGCCCAATGCTAGCACACAGGCTCTTTCTAGATATCTCTAAAGACTGGGAAAGTTCTAAGGAGAGCAGCAGGCAGGGGGTGGGGGGAGGATGCCGATTTTGTTAGTCAGATCTAAAAGGTGCTGGAGCTATATGGAAGTCCATTGGTTGAGTGCCTACCTAGTATGCGGGAAGCTATGGATTTGATCCCTAGCACCACATTAATGGGCATGGTGACATATATCTGTACCTCAGCACTCAGGAGATAGAGGCAGGAGGGTTAGAAATTCAGGTAATATACTTGGCTGTACTGTGAAACTGAGGCCAGCCTGGGCTATAAGAGATACTATCAACACACACACACACACACACACACACACACACCCCAGAAAGGACTCATTGGGTGACTTAGCCATGATCCCTGTTTATGCCACCCAGACAAAGACCAGGAAACAAATTCCAGTACTGTATTTGCAAGCCCTGGGTCATAGCCTTCCAGCGACTGGAGTCACGTTAGACTTACTTTTCTTACACATTTAAACATAGTAGAACTTTGGGGGTGGGGGGACTCTTCACATGACAATTCCCATAACAAAGCTTCAGGGCTCGCTCCATCATTTGCAAAGCAGCAAAGCACCCGTGATCTTTACAATAAGAATGAATTCTATCAAACACAGTGATAGCTAGGGCCTAAAGAAGGACCCGTGATCCGCACAAGGATGGATTCTCTTGGAGGGCACAAAGCACACGGGGTCTCTTTCATAGGGATGTGTTCTTTTCACTGAGAGACAAAGCTCAGGATATTGGGAGATGCAGGTGGAGGATGGGTCCTCCTAGAAGAGCAAAGGGTCACCAGGTTGTTTGACTATGTCACTCCAGGCGAACAGGCAACATTCATTTCCTTCAGCTGAAGGAGACAGGCCTGTGTGATCATCAGTCCTGCTTCTCCAATGCTTACCCGAAGCTGTGTTTTCTATATCATTTCCTTTGTCTAGAAAGAGTAACCACATTCAGGGACCAGAGATGAGACTTGGATCCACCTGCACAGAGTCAGGCAAAAGGCAGGGACTCAGCTGGCTGGCTGGTTGGTGGAGGAAGGGGACCTGGCCAGGGTCTGTGGATATATGTGGTCCTCTACCTCTGGTGCGCCACTTGCTACACAGGTCTTGCTTTTCCCTCTTCCTGGCCCTGGCCCCATAGCTTTCTCCCAGCTGGTGCAGTTGTACCCAGAAGGCAATTCCTCGGTTATGTGTTCTGTTGCCTGTCCCCTCTGCCAGGTTGGCATCATTCCAGGATATCAGTGTCTCTCTGGACCCCTGCTCTGCCTACTCTCAGGCATTCATACAGCACAAACTGATGTCACTATCTTTCAGAGATAACTCAATTTTGAAATAAAAATCTACTTCCATAATAACTTCAAAATGTAGGTGCAGCTTTTTGTTCTCTTAGCTCTTTGGGGGTCTCTGTAGCACTGCTTCCTTCTGTTAGTGTAGACAGGGGAGATGGAGCAGGGGGCTCACTTGTCTCCTTCCCCAGTGTAAGTTTAGGGCAGTCAGACTCGGGGAGGGGTGGCACACACAGGGTGAGAAAGGGTGAGCTGATGGATTTCCCTGGTAGGACTCAGAATGTCTTCCGAGGAAAGAACCAGAAGGCTGGCCAGAGGTGCCATGGCTGGTATTCTCTGCAAGGTTGCTGAGGGTATGAACAACTGAACATCAAAGGCAAGAGTTAATGCCATCCTTACCTGTCCCCCATGTATCCAGCTGTACAGTGGCATTGTCCAGTCACATGATCACACTGGCCTCCATGGTGGCATGGACAGTCCTGACTACAGTTCTGGCCAAACGTTCCTGGTGGGCAAGGCTGGGCACACACTGCTCCCTGCAATAGAATTGAGGACAGGCTTGGTAGGGCTCCAGAGATATCATGCTTAGGTTATAGTCTCCAAGGAATATTGGGGCCACAAGGCCAACCCAACTTCCCAGCGTAATCAGGAAAACTGATGTTCATGCTACAGTTAGGACTACTGAGGTCAGTTCTCTCACCCAATTACTCAGTGTTCAGTTAGTGAAACCCGTTGTATATCAGGTGCTGGGTCAGATACCTGGGGCACAGAAAGCAAGTGCAATTGATACCTGTCCTCACAGGGTCCTGGGGAGTCCAGCAAGGAAGCAAAGTAGAGTACATAATGCTACTCCTCTCATATGTACTAACAGAGAGAGAGAGAGAGAGAGAGAGAGAGAGAGAGAGAGAGAGAGAGAGGGAGGGAGGGAGAGAGAGAAGAGAAGAGAAGAGAAGAGAAGAGAAGAGAAGAGAAGAGAAGAGAAGAGAAGAGAAGAGAAGAGAAGAGAGGAGAGGAGATACAGGAGAGCCCCCGCTATCGATTAAACATCCAGGTGTGGAGACACGCTCACTTCTGTGACTTCCCTAAAGCCAGCTATTATGAGAACAGAGGACCCAAATGGAGGTGGGGAGGGACGGGAACTGGAGTGTGAAGAAGGGGAGAAGGGGCGGAAAGGGGAGGAGACAGGAGGGGTGAAGGACTGGAAGGAGGGGAAATGAAAGAGGGGCTATATGACTCCCATCAGGGTATAGCACTACAAATTTTATTTTAAAAGATTTTAAAAAAACACTACTTTTATTTCTGTGTATGAATGTGTATGTATGCCATGGGCATGTGGATGTCCAAGGAGTCCAGAAGACGACTTTGGATCCCCTGGAGCTGGAGTTACAGGTGGTTGTGAGCTCTCTGACATGGGTTCAGAGAGCTGAACTTGGGTCTGGAAGAGCAGCAAGTGCTCTTAACTGAGCCGTCTCTCCAGACACCAAAGTTGTAAGTTTCCTTTTTTAAAAAATTATTTTATTTTTTTATTTTATTCACATTTATGTTTTACCTCCATGCACATCTGTATAAGGGCATTGGATCTCCTGAAACTGGAGTTACAGGCAGTTGTGAGCTGTCATGTGGGTGCTGGGAATTGAGCCAGGTCCTCTGGAAGAGCATCCGGTGCTCTTAACCAATGAGCCATCTCTCCATCCCAATGTTTTATATTTCTAAATGTAAACTTAATTGAAGTTTTTAAAAAGAGGAAAAGTCATATACAAAATCAGGAATCAAGTTATTAGATATCTTATCTAGAAATTAGATGACAATGGAGTAATTCCTTAACATTTTGGAGAGAAAATAATTTTCAACCTAGTACCGATTGCCAAGAAGCAAGAGGGATGTGGCTCAGAGCCAGGATCTTTAGCATGTCAAGAAAACCATTAGTTAAAAGACAAAATCCTTTTGTCTAGAATATTATACCTCTCAAAACAAATATTTGAGCAGGGGTTTTGATAGGACAGTTTTAGATTTAAAGAAAAAAGCAGTAACCTTCATGGTACTTTAGGAAACTAACTGGAAGATGTCCCACCCCTCATCAGAAAAACTTTCCAGGGCTGGCAATACAGTTCAGTTAGCAGAGTGCTTGCCCAGCATGGGAGAAGCATCAGTTCTCAGCATCAGATAGAGTCAGTGTGGGTGCACACCTGTAGGTGGAGGCAGGAAGATTAGAAGTTCAAGGTCATCCTCTGTCTTCCTCAATTAGTTTGAAAGTGTGACTGATATATCAGATCCTGTTCAACCAAAAGAAAGAAACAAACAAACAAAGAGAAAGAAAAGGAAAAAGAAAAGGAAGGTAGAAAAAGAAGGAAGATGATTACTCAAGAAAAATAAAAAAAAGAATGGATTCTGAGAACTAGAGACCCATCAAAAGAGAAACAAAAGGAACCCAGGAGAGTAGTGAGCACGCCAAGCAAGGAGCTCACAACACAAGCCCAAGACCGCCTCAAAACACAAAGGCAAACAACCAGGGAGGGAGAGAGGGAGCAAAGTGGGGACTTCTGAGGTGTCTGACCTTATTGAGAGGAATTTCAGACTTTGGCTGAGCTGTTGGATAAATTAGTAGCCACACACAGCCATGTTAACATATAGACACACACAAACATGCTATCCTAAGCATCACGAACTTCGCTGTCCTCTCTCCGTCTTCCTTTAGGGAGCCGGCCTGTACTCTGGGATCTCCCCTCTTTCTCTGCCCTCCTCCCTACTAGGTGGTGGCTTGTCTCCCATGTGTCTGACTTCCATGCCAACTCAAACAGCAGGGAGCTAGAATTAAATAAATTAAAATAAAATTTAAGTTTACTTATTTATACATGTGCGTGCGGGTATGCTATGGCATGCATGTTGGAGTCATAGGACAACTTGCTTGAGTCAGTCTCTTCTCCCATGTGGGTCCCAGAGGGTTGAACTCAGGTTGTCAGCCTTGAGGACAATAGCCTATGTCACTGAGCCACCTCACCACCCTGAATCCTGTCTGTGGGCTGAAGACATTAGGTTGAGAAGTGGCAGTAAGGCATGTTAGGTAGAAAACAAAAGGAGACACCCAAACAGACATGGATTAGGACTGCAAACATTATGTACTGAGGGCTGTTTTCTCTCTGCCCCCACCCTCCAGTATTAGCCTTGTGGTATACGTCTGTAAAACAGTTTGTATAAACTTCAAGTCTTCATCAGACATCTGAGCCTAGTCTTGTCTCCTGCCACCGTTTCACCCTCATGCCAGAGATAATCATTTCTCTCATGGAGAATGAAGATGATCTTCCAATTAATTAATCAATTTGTTCAACATACAGTTATTAAGCACCAATAATCACCGGCCCCAAAGAAGCTAGTTCAGTCAGGAAAAGCCTGCCAGACCGGAGCCATCTTTCCACGTCGTGTTATTGAGTTGTAATGAATTAAGTGGGAGGCTTTCAGCTCAGATTCCCCACGGCAGGCACCGCGGAGGCTAGAGAAGCGAGGACTGTGAGGTGAGTGTGCAAAAGTGGGGTGAGAGGAGTCTGGGGGTGAAAGGTGCCTGTCTTTTTCCCCATGAGCTTAGCGATCCATGGGTGACAAGAGAATTCTCTGGCTTCTGTGCAATTCTGTCCTTACTGTCTGGGGGTGTCTGAGGGTACTCTACCCTGAAAAACAGTTCAAGCTAATTCGGGCAGGAAATGTTCATGCCTACCAGTCTCCTTACCCTTGAACAGGTGGAGCCCTCTTTCATGTACACATCACACACACACACACACACACACACACACACACACACACAGAGAGAGAGAGAGAGAGAGAGAGAGAGAGAGAAAGAGAAAGAGAGAGAGAGAGAGGTGACCCCTGGTCTCTAGGAAGTTGTAAAGATAAACAAGATTAGGGATGCAAAGGAAGCCAGCTGATACCGTGCCTTATTGAGTGGCACTTAATGAATGTCAGCTGAACAAAGTTGACACTGATGGGGCGGTACGTGACTACATAAATGATCAACTACTGCTGGTTGGAAGAATGACCTCTGGAGGAAGCTGGCAAGCGCAGGGGTTCCTCTCCTGCTGTGACTTTATCTCCTGGAGATTGGCTGCAATCCTCACTTCCAGTGTGCCAGGATATGACTGTATGCGGACATGCGGCCTTTGCAGAGGTGAAGTGAAAAACTTGTGTAGGTGGGCCCTCATCCGACCTAACTCGGGGATGAAGACAGATATATAGCAGGTTGGAGGGTTAGCTCAATCAGTAGCATGCTCGCTATGCAAACATGAGGATTTAGCTTTGATCCCAGAAGCCACGTAAAAAGGCAGACATGATGATGTGTGCTGGCTAATTTTATGTCAACTTGACAGAAACTAGAATCATTTGGGAAAGGAACTCTCAATTGAGAAAACGCCTCAGTAAGATTGGCCTATGGGTAAGCCTGTAGTGCATTTTTTCTTTCTTTAAAAAAATGTATATGTGTATTGCGTACGTATGTATTTTATGTATTTAGGTATGTGCGTACATATGTATTTTATGTATATAGGTGCTTTGTTCGCATGTATATTTGCATACCAGAAGAGGACAACAGATACCATCATAGACAGTTGGAGCTGCCATGTGGGAGCTAGGAAATGAACTCAGGATCTGGAAGAGCAGCCAATGCTCTTAACTGCTGAGTCATCTCTACAGGCCCATTTTCCTAACTGATAACTGACACGGGAAGGTTCAGCACATTATGGGTGGTACCATTCTTGTGCTGGTGGTCCTGGGTTCTACAAGAAGGTCAGAGGGATGGCCACGCAAAGGCCAAGGAAGATGATGGCTATCTCTAGCCTGGGGAGAGGGGCTCAGAAATCAACAGCCCTGCCTGATGGAGTCACCTTGACCTCAGACACTCAGATACTTTTTCTCAGCCTCCAAACCCAAGAGAAAACAAATCCCTATTGTCTGAGCCATTTGTCTGGCATCCTACGAAGGCCGGGTGTGTTTCCACTGTGGTGGGCTCCTGGGCTACATTTAGAAGGTCGGTGTGAAATGGGGCAAGTCCTGCTCTTCACCTGGTCAGGTCTAATGCTTCTGTGAGACTCTAGAGAGCAGCTCCACTGTAAGAGGTCTGTGTGCACCAGAAGATTAAAAGGAAGGGGCCAAGATGGTGCCTCAGTCTTGCCAGCATTTTGGGCATTCACACCAGTGGCTGCTGCCCCCAGAGTGGCACCAACCTGTGGAGACACTGAGCAGCAGCTGGTGAAGGTGCTATGGAGGTGATCCCAAGCTCAGGACCAGCCACTGGCCTCTGTAGTCATCTTTCCAACCCCTCGTGTCTGAGACACCAAAGCCTAAGCCACCAAAGCCCTCTCTGGGCTCCCACCCTCACTGGTCCCATTTCCCAGCTTCTGGCTCCATTCCTCCTCCTGCCCATCATTTCCTTTGCACGTGAGTGTCTGTGTGTATGGAGCATATGTGAATGTACCCATTCTGTTCAGCCTCTGTATCAGACTGGGAAATCCCGAGGAACCGATTGCTGCCCTTCCTGCTTTCTGCCTGTCCCCAGTGTCCACCCAGTGTCCACTGCCATCAAGCTACCCGCAGTTACCCTCTTTCCTCTGCAAGGTCTCAGAGTCAGCAAAAGCGGGGAAATAGTTCCCAGGTTCTTCATACAGGCCTCTCCACACTGGATTCATTATGGCCAGGCAAGTGAAGGGGCCTGTGGTATTCTTGGGGGTTGATGGCCTGAAGGGGCAGATGGGCCAGAGATCCCAGAAGCTCCTCTGTACTCAGTGTCCCTGCCGAGTGGTGGCAGTGAGCAGCCGCTCCACCAGCCTCAGAGTGGGAAAAGGGATGAAACTCCATGGGGGCCACTGGCAAGTCAGACAATGAAAGATAAAGACAGGTGACCCTTCCCCCAGCAGCCTTTCCTTGGCTCCAGCTCTCCTTGGAGGAGCCTCAGACCTGAGTCAAAGCTTCATTTTTGTGACTCTGCATGCACCAGGGTATTAATAATTCATGCAAATCTGCAAGTTCAATGCTATGTCAGAAATAGAAATGTGATTGTCTATCATAAAATTTAAAACAAAGTCCTCAGCACCAAAGCTTTCTATAGACAGGGTTTCTCGGCACCCCGAAAAAGTGTGTTAGGAAAAGAGCTGCCAATATGTGTTGGCTTTCTCCATCTCCTATCTCCTAAGTCCTGCAGCCCACAGCAGCTTTTCAGGGGAGGTCTCTCCAGGGTCTGGGCTCCCTCCCTAGCTGATGGGCTTCCCTGAGCCCTGCCTGGCATTGGATACCTGGACGCTGTCTGGTGATAGAGGCCTTTCAAAAAGCAGGCTAGGGTGGGAGAAGGAAACAGGCGAGAGAGGAGATCTCATCCTCTGTGTCCTTTCAGAAGAGCGGGGAGAGGGGAGGAGAGAAGGACAGAGGGAGAAAAAGAGAAAGGAAAGAAAGAGGAAAGAGAGACACACAGAAAGACAGAGGGGGCAGAGAGATAAAGAGGAAGGAGAAAAAGAGATGGAGAGGTAGAGAGGGGGGAGAGGGAGAGAGAGCATACATGGGTGGGGTAGTTCTGGAGTGGAGACCCAGGTTCTAACTCCACCTCACTCCTAACCAACATGAGGCTTAAGGCACGTCACTAGCTTTCCCTGCTCTCTCTCTCCTCCAAGAAAGGCCATTTATGGTCAGACCATGGCGTTGAAAGACTTCTCAAGCTGTGACTGGTGTTGTTTTTGTGACCTGTTTCCCAGAACATCCATACTGAGTAGACCCAGACAGAGTGGTGGGAGTCTGAATCCCAATGGTAAGGCTTTCTCCCCCATCCACTGCTAGGAGCGACAGGATTCTGTACAGAGGGAAGCCCTTTGCTCTTGAGCAATGACATCCAAAGGAAGCTGTGTCTGCATGCTGCCTGCCTCAAAGTCACCTGGGGAGCTCATTAAAGAAGTCATTCCCAGAGGCTCAAGTGTGACCCCTGCCCCTCACTGACTCCACTACGTAGCCCTAGCCGTATTTGGCCACACTAGATTCCTAAGGTCCCTCCCTGTCGAGAAGCATCCTTGAGCCTACAGATGTCCTTCTTGGCTGCCCTTGGGACCTTGGTGTCAAAAGCCTCCTGAAATACCTGGCTGTACTCAGCAGGCCTGTCCCTGTCCCTAGGGAGGCAACTGAGCCTCTTTTGAAGTGGGACATGTTAAAGGGGATACAGTGTGGAAGGGCAGCCTCTGAGACTGACAACCTTTCCGGGGCTTGGGAGCCATAGGGAGGTGCTGACCAGGGAAGCCTAGCAGCTGTTGGAGGCTGTGGCTAGCCTGTGATATCCAGGGATATAAATCAAGCTGGTACAAAAGCCTTTGGCATTTGCAAAGCACGGTGGCTATGCAATCTCACCTGAGGATTGTGCCTACCATGCCAGGCAACCCAAGCAAGGCTTACTGAAGGCAAATCATCTGTGTCCACGGGGAAGCTGAGATTAGAGGCGGGGAGGTTTGTCAGGGCAGCTTCGGACATGTCACCTGAGGGAAGGCCTCCATGGGAGAGGCTATATCTCCATCAGCTTCCCATAGTGGGGGTTCCCAGACTGGAGGCCTGTGCTAGTAGTGGCTGCATCAGAAGTATCTGAAGCATCTGGGAATGTAACAGATTCTGGGGACCACAGAGTCAGAATGAATATGTGAGCTAGGGTAATGTTTTACAAATCCAGATGAGCCTGACCCTGCTGTGACTCTCATGCCCAACTCCTGCCACACCTGAAACGCATTTGGGTACCCAGACCCAAATTCAGAGTCAATTTTTTTAAAATTAAATTTTTTTTTCCCCAGCAAGATCTCATGTAGCCCAGGCTGACCTTGAACTTGTTATGTAGCTGAAAATGCCATTGATCTTCTGGTCCTCTTATCTCCACCTTCCAAGTACAAGAATTATGGGTCTGTGCTACCAACCCTGGTTTTATGTGATGTGAGGGATTGAACCCAGGATCATGCATATTAGGCAAGCATTCTATCAACTGAGCTACTTATCCGGCACTAGACAGAGCCAGTTATATGAGGAAAATTCAATTCTGTTGCCTGTGAGAGACCTCTGACTCAGAGAGGCTAAGTAACTTGCCTTAGATCACACAGATCCTAGACCTGGGACTCTTCACTGCTAGCAAGTGTCTCATAATGGCTCATGACTATAGACGTGGGTAGAGAGATGAATTTAGCCTTTCATGGTCTTGTGGCAGATGCCAAGACTTCTTATGATGCCCACCTACATCTTGAGGGTCCACCTACCGTCCAGCCTGGAGGGCAGGCACACTCTCCAGTGATGTGGTGGCAGGTGCCCCCATTTTGGCAGGGGCAGCGTAGTTCACAGTGAGCTCCATGGCTCCCAGGGGGGCACAGCTCCTCGCAGCTGCACAGAGAGGGAGAATCATAGACAGCAGCATTCCCAAGAACGTCCTAGAGCTCGAACCCAATGCCCCAGGGTTTCCTAGGAGCTTTGTCTACAAGCACAACCTTGTCAACCCTGACCTCCACCTGACATCTAACTCCTCCCCCGCCATGGTGGTGAGTGAAGGCAGCAATCAGCCTACCTGCCAAACTGAAGGTCTGAAACCCTGCACCTTAAGAGTGGATGTTCTGATCCCCGCCAGTAGAGGGAGACAGATATCAGACATAGTATATTGAATTGTAGGGTACTTGGGCCAACCCTTGAAAAGTCTGGGCAGGAAGCTGAAGGGACCTTCCCTAAGACGGTTTTACTTAGGCCTTGAAGGTGAGGCTAATTTCACTGAGAGAGTGGAAGGACATGCCAGACGGATGAAACAGCAAGACCAAGGAGCTAAAAAGTGGCCTTGGATTTTGTCTTCAGGAACCTGCCATGGCTGCTGCCTCCTTTTCTTCCTCCTCCCCCTCTCTTTCTCTTTTAAAGATTTATTTCTTTATGTATTTTATGTGTATGAATGCTCTCTCTGCATGCATGCCTGTATGCCAGAAGTGGGGATCAAGTCACATTATAGCTGCCATGTAGTTGCTGGGAATTGAACTCAGGACCTCTGGGAGAGCAGCCAGCATTCTGCAAATCTGCAGAGTCAAATCTGCAGCCTCTGAAAATGTGCCTATTTTCAAAGGGGAAGTCAGATATTCTGAGGCATTTCCTTTCCAGACTCTGAAAAGCTCCCAGTTGCCATGAGTTGGGGGACAGCCACTGTGGGAGCACGGGGAAGGTCTGCATCATTGGCTTGGGTCTCATTCCAATGGCCATGGCTTCAAGCTCAAAGACCCTGGGAGCCACATTGGGACAGGAAAAGCTCTCAATGTCTGGTAATCAGCGTCCGTGGCTGATGCCTAAGGATCTAAGAAGACTCTAGAGCCTTCTGCAGGGCTGGAACAACACCAGTCTTGTCTGTGAGAGTGTCAACTAAGCTGTCTTGGGGAGCCCCTAGCAGTGTGGCTTCCCCAGGGCACAGAAGTGAGGGGACCAATCAGCACACGATATATCAGTTGGGCTCTTACCAGCCCTATGCCTCAGATGTATTAATTAGGATGTGGCAAGCAGAGGCAGACTGTAGAAGTCAAAAAAGAAGGCTAAGCTCACTTCTGTGTCCCCTAACTAGGAAGGGCCCTCTGACAGGTGACTCTAGTGGGACTCATGGCATGGATGTGAGACTTGTGTACACGAGGCCTATATACTTACACACTGCTGCACTTTTCAGCAGATTTCACAACCAGAACTTTCTGCTCTCATCTTCCAACTCACTAGGATAATAAGAAGTTGCCCCCAAACCCTGAAAGCCCCGGTGACAGCCCCTAGGCCCCAGCACTGTCCTGCTCCAAACCAGGGTCATCCAGGCCATGCCTTTCTCTCCCAGCTCAGGCTCGTCTCTCCTGGAGTCTCTCCTGGCTCCACCCCATCCCCTCTTTCCCCCACCCCAGCAGTCCTGACCTCTCCCTGGCCCCACCCCCAGGTCACGCCCTCGCTACTCACTAGACGCCAGTGTAGCCTGGTGCGCAGAGGCACTCGCCAGTGCGTGGGTCACAACTGGCACCGTGGTGGCACTGACAAGGCAGCTGGCAGCCCTTGCCGTGGGTACCAGGCGCGCAGAGTTCTTCACAGCGCCAGCCTCGGAAGCCAGGGGCGCACACGCAGGCGCCGGTGATAGGGTTGCACAGGGCGCCGTTCTGACACTGACACCGATTGCTGCAGTGGGGACCCCAGTGCTCGCTGTCACAACCTGCAAGAGAGGACATGCAGAGTCAGGGCTTCCTTAGAACGAAGGGGATGTCTGGAAGGAATCTTGGCATTTGGGGATCTCCATCAGGCTCCACCAAGCCACCAAATGTTCACCGGAGTTGAAGATGGCACAACGACAAAGGACCCCAGCCCTGCAACTCAATTTCAATCGCTGTCACTGCCCCGCCCCCAATACAAACCTGGCCACAGCCTTTTACCTCCTTGGCTCTGGGAAGCTCTCCTTGGTTGGTCCTACTCTAGCCTTCTCAGCCGGACCTTTCCTCAGTACTCCTGCCACCTCTCTCTTCTCTGGGACCTTGTTCCTCCCAGAGCCAGCTGGGCCCAGGGGCATGTCTGCCTGAACCATCTTTCTCTCACTCATTTACTCAGGACCGTTTCTTCCAACTCACTGTGCCCACTCCTGGCTCCACCTCTCAGCTCTCCTTTCCCCCTTCCTCCCTTCCAGGAATCCTTCCAGCCCCTAGTTGCTTCTTCAGTTCAATTTCCTCAGTGCCTCAGCACCTTCAGAAAGAGCAGGAGAAAACAAATGTATCCCTGGGAAGTAACAGACAGCAATGGAAATCTTTCCCTGTAATTAAATGTTTTCAAGACGGATGGCTTTTCCAGATCTGCACTCTAAGCCATGGAAGGGATAGAGCGGCCCCGAACCCCAGGAAGGTTACCCACTATTGTCACCTCTCACTTTGACCCTCTCTCTTGGTGCATTCAGGACACAACAAAAATAAGATGCCCCCCAAACACTGGGATTTTTTTTGCGGGAGTGGAGTTTAGGTACTGACAGGCACAAATACTGTTTTAGAATATCGAAGGCAAGAAAGATTGCTTCCAGTTAAGACAGTCAGGTGAAGGTTCCTCGTTGCAAGTGGGCAGTGAAAGATGGCTCAATTGTCTGCCTGCCAGAGGACCATCTGTCTTACTTTCTGCACCAGAAGTCCGCTGTTTCCAAGAGCACCTCAGTCCTGGGCAAGCAGGGACAGAGGGCGACTCTGCTGCCTGTGGGCACAGATGGCCAGCTGATCTTTGTACCCAGCTCTCTAGGATGTTGATACTCAGAGGAGGCGGAAGTGAGCAGCGTAGAAAGGGTGTCCTTGGGGCAGGCCACTGGGAGCAGCGACAAAGCGGCACCCCGGTGATGAGCAGGCCCAAGAAGACAGCCTGTGAGCACGCTGGGGCTCCGCCAGCATCACCGTGTTACACAAGTCTCTCCTGGTGGCTGAATGGGTCAGTATCTGGAAGCTCGCATCCATCCTGCAGTAGAGAGGTCCACTGAGTCTCTGATCCCACCACCTCATCTTGGCTCACTCCTTCATCCGTGCCCTGAATATTGAAAAACACAGACTGGAGCCGCCAAACTATCAGTGGGCATCGCCCTCTGTTTCCCAGTCTACTCAGAGTCACAGCTCCGCTCACACTGACAGTGGCTCACGTGGCAGCAGTGGAGCGTCCCCCAGCCCACGTTCTGTCCAGGAAGCCTTCCCAGGGAGTGTAAAGACTGATACAACTATCCACTGTGTGTGTGTCTCTGTGTGTCTGTGTGTGTGTGTGTGTGTGTGTGTGTGCACATGTGCACGTACACACACACTCTCTCTCCTTCCCATTTTTGAATGTGTATATAAGCAGGTTTGCAAATCTATGGGCTTGTTTGCATGGGTGCGTGCTGTGCATGTGTATGCCCAAGGAGGCCCAAGGTTATGGCAGGAACCTTTCTCAACCCTTCTTCCGTGAGGGCCCGTCTATCAGTCAAACCCAGAGTCTGTGGATATGGCTAGTCTTACCAGCCGGCTTGTTCTGGGATTCCCTGTCTCTATCTTCGGAAGCTGAAAGTACAAGCAGCCTCCACACCCACCAGGCATTTACATAAGTTCTGAGGATTTAGACAAGTGCTTAACCAGTGAGCTGTTCCCCACTTCCCCTCTGTCTCTATCGCCTAGCACATGTAGTTAGCATTCAATGTGTATGTGCTAGGATTCCATTATCATAATGATAATCATATTTAACTTTCCCCATGCGCCCGGCCCCTTCCTGGAAGTCTTAGAGGCACGAACAGTATTTAATCCTCACAGGCTTCACTTTCTTCCCTACTTTATAAGCGGGAAGATAAAGGATCATGGCAGTCACATGATAGTTCATATTCTAACAGGCCAGCCAAGGCCCCCTGATTCCAGGTCATTGCTCAGGCCCACGGGACACTTACTGGGGAATATTCCGAGAGGGGAAGCTTGGGGACAACACTGATAACAGCAGCTGCAAAGCCCAGGTGGGTGACACCATACAGATTGGCTGCTTCCTTTCTGGTTACGACTGTGAGCAGCTTCAGGATCTAGAAACCAGGCCTGATGGTGTCCCCTCACAGAGGAGGGGTGGCTTCCAGTTTGTGCTTCCTACACCTCCTCCCAGCTGTGTGTACTTCTGGCCCAGATGCTTGGAGTCTTGGGGGGTGCTGAAGTATACAGGAGGCGGGAGGATAACTGAAGGGGGGACTCGATCTACACAGCTATGAGGAGGTTGTCATCCATCCAAGACAGAGTGAGGCCTTTCAGTGATGTGGCTGCTTTGGCCCCCTAACTCCTGTCTGTGACCCCTCATTCATGTTCTAGAAGTAAGAACATGTTTTGTTAAGTTGGTCTTTGGTGAAATTGTTACTTTGGTCCATTTGTAGAATCTGTTACTTTGATTCCCTATCTCAGGTGAGTAGACATTTGTTCATGTTTGGCCAGGAAAGTTGGCCATGCATGCTTGGCGGTAACTGGAAAGATATGGTTTGTCAGGAAGTGGTTGGAGGCAGAATCACAGAATTCAGCACGGTGGCGGTGCTAGAATAAAGGTGGCTTAGGACTTCATTGAAGTTATGAGAGCACAACCCTGGCTCCTCGCACTACAAGGATGTGCATATGAACACGTCTATATTTGTGTCTCTGTTTATAAAGCCCCTAAAACCACAAGGCAAGGCTAGGGAGATTGTTGCTGGAGGCTGTTCGTTCATTTTTCAACCGCCCTGACTCGAAATAATCACACAGAAACTCTATTATTTGCAATACTGTTTGACCAATAGCTTAAGCACATTTTTAGCTAGGTCTTATATCCTAAATTAACCCATCTCCATTAATCTGTGCATCACCACGAGTACCGGCAAAGTTTTGTCGGGTTCCGGCAGAGGTGTCTATCTTCCTATCTCCTGAGGACGGCTACATGGCTTCTTCCTGACTCCACCTACTCTCTCTATATATATCTCTTCCAGCCTGGCTATATTCTGTTAAGCCATTGGCTGAAAAGCTTTATTCATTAACCAATAAAAGCAACACATATGCAGAGGACTTCCCACATCAGGAGATGGCTCAGTGGCTGAGAGAACTTGCTGTGAAAGCAAGAGAACCTGAGTTCAAATCCCCAGCAACCACATAACAGCCAAGCGTGCAACCCCACTTTTGTGGGGCAGAGACAGACAGATCCCGAGAGTTCACTGGTTAGCCAGCTTAGCTTCAGATTCAGTAGGACACTGTCTCAAAACTAAGGAGGAGAGCAAAGCCAATGGGTGGCTCATCAGGTTAAGGTGCTGGACAGCAAGGCTGATGACCTGAGGGCAGTTCCCAGACCTAAATGGTGGAAGGAGAGAAAGGTGTCCTCTGACGTCCATACACGTACGGTGGCATTTACACACACACCCACACACCACGGCAAAAAGAGACAGAATGCCCTCTCCTAGCCACTACACATATGTGCAAAGCACACACGTACACACCCCAGCTGCATTGTGTCCAAGCAGGAAAGCATGGAAATAAACAGGAAACACAGAGACTAAGGAAGTGTGGCCATCGGAGGATGAACACATGGTCCCTGGCAGCCAACCCGGCAGGGAAAAGGTGGGCTAAGTCAGACATTTCTGACCAAGGAAACAGCGAAGTATGTCACCATAGCAGAGAAATGTCTCCCCAGAGTGACTCAGTGGGAAAAAATGTTAGGGACCACAGTGATCAACTTTGGTTATTTAAAATTCACTTAAAAACTCCTCACTCCCCAGCGATGCTAGGGAAATGAGGTGGAGCTAGAAGAGCCAATTATCTACTCCGCAGAAGGCAAGGAGAGCAATCACTCCGCAATTACAGTGGCGCGGGGTGGGGGGGAGTAGGGAGGGTCGGTGGTGGTTGTGTTCCTCCGCGGAGCCACACTCTGCTCAATTTGGCCAGGCCATGTCAAGCCCTCACATAGGTGATTGTTTTATTTTTGTTTGTTTGTTTTTCCTTCACTCTGCCCCAGACTCTGCTCTCTGATTATATTTGGGTTTTGCTGATTGTTTAGCTTCTCTGGGCAGCTATGCAGGGCTTAAGGGGCACCCAGAGGTGCGTGGCCAGCAGCTCAGGCCCCTCCCAGCTGGCCCCTTCAGATTCTCGGATCCAGCCTGTGGGCTCCCAGGTCCTCACCATGGGGAACAATTTGGTCTCCCTTTTTCCCACGGACTTCACTACGGACAGGCATCTCAGTTTGTAGCTACAGTTGATGGAGCTTTTACTATGAAGGAGCTTTTACCATATAACCAGGCTGTGTACCAGAGGTGCAAAGTCGATTTTTCTCCTTTAGGGTCATAGATACTATTACTATTTCCATTTTTCAAACAAGGAAGAGAGGCTCAGAGAGGATGAGAAACGTATCCCAGGTCGTGTAGCCAAGAAGTGACTGGGAGTCTGGGCTGCTGACATCTGCTGGGTAAGGGATGCTGTCAGTGCAGGAGGTGTGGAGTGCTGGCAGCTAGCCTGGGCTTGACCAGCCAACACTGATAATCCATAGAGACAACCACTAAGACCGTAGCTCAGTTGTAGCAGGCCTTCCTGATCTGCATAAACAGAGTATGGCCGGCACACACCTGGCGTCCCAGCACCCAGGAGGTAGAAGCAGGGGGATCAGAAGGTCAATGGCATTCTCAGCTACACAGTAAGTCTGAAACCAGCCTGGGATACATGAGACACTGTCTCGAGAAAGAAAAGA